TTTTATTGCATGTTACAAATATTTTACAAATTGTACTGAAACGAGTCGTCAATATTTCAATATTTAAATAAAAGTTTTGTTTTGTATGAGAGAATTTTCAAAAACATTTTGCGCAGATTTAAGCAATAAATTCTTGCGCGATGAGATTTATTTTTCACTTTTAATACGAATTTTAACAAAATTTTGGGCATTTCTCTTGCCTTTCGAGCGTGCCTGCCACTCAAACAAAATATTTAAAAAGCTACCAGTCCAACATTGTCGATCGTCGCGTTTAGATATATCCATTGCCTAGTAATCGGACTTGTCTCTTAGCCGTTGTCTGCACACACAAATATACATAGTGTTTTATGCTCCTATATATATACGCGATAATAAACGAATTTGAGGGTTCCCCAAATAATTAAAACGAATTTAATAAAAATTATTCGATGTGTTTTGAAACAAGAAAAGTGATTTCAAAAAAAGTTTACTGAATACTAGAAAATGTAAAAAATTTTAAGATTATGAAATATTAGGCTAGAAAAATTGACCAAATAACTGTGCCACGTCAATTTCCGATCTATTTTAGTACCCTATTTAGTACACGACGACGTAGTGCTAAATTTAGATTTATTAACAAATTGTTTTGTTCGTGCCTGAAGAAAGTGCGCTAAATATTTTGTTTTTTGTGTTTTGAATCAAGAAAAAAAAGTTTGGGTCCACAAGTGCTACTTGAAGTGGGATGAATTGTTTTTTTCCCAAATTCCCTAAAATTGTGTAATCTTTTACCATTTCGAAATTTATTTTTATTACATAATTTTGCTTGTTTTTCGTGGATTTTTTCTGGCGATTTATAAGCAAAAATTAAAGACGCATCGCTAATAGTTAGAGAAATACATAATAGAGGGGACTTGCATATATAGACACATAGGCAACGGAAATTACACAAATTAATTCTCAAAAATATTTACAAAATTATATACAAAAAAATTTATTGAGAGATAATACATGGGCTGATGCATCAAATTTTGACGAAGAAAATTTTTTTGCTTATTTATGTAAATTGAAATATTTTGTTTTTAAAAATTGTTAAAATTACAAAAAATATATTATAAAATTTTATTCAAAAATTTTGTGATTTAGTCTTCATTAAACAGCATTAATTAAGTATGGTTATTATTGTAAAAGATAAAGTAATAAATTATAAAAAATTAACACGAGAAATTAATTTTTGAAAATATAAAACATTTTTATGCGTGCATAAGTGCTTGATGAGCTCTTCCTCCTGAAATAGATTCATATTTTCGACAATATTTTTATTTCAAAATATATAATATATATTAAACATATAAATTTAAAAAAAAACCAAAAGATTTTATACATATTTTTTTTTTTAAAGTAGAAACCATTAAAGTGATTCTTGTGATAAAAATTTATAAAATAAATTTGCTTTCATCCTTCTATTTCGTGTGATATATTGTTTGGTGGTTGTATGTGTAGTTTTTTTTATTTGTTTTTAATTCCCAAAAAAAATTAAATAATGCATTATAAACAAATATAAACAAATTTCTCATGTCTTAATAATTTATAAAATTATTGTAATAATAATAATTCAATTGTGCTCTATCCAAAAAAATTATTGTTAAATAATATAAAAAGCAAATAAAATGGGCAACGGCTGTTCAAAATGCTGTCAGTGTAATGATCATAAACACAATCACGGCACACTGTCCTCTGCATCGTCGGTATACAGAAGAAGGTAATATTTATCATAAGACTTTTTGTAAAAAAATATAGATTACAAAATTACAAAAAAAACCACTAAATAATTTCCTGACAGTTGTTAATAGAATACATACATATACCATAAACATTTCGTTATTTAAAATTCTATATCAATAGAAACTTCCATATCATTGATACTCATAAGGAAATTTTTAAATATAAAAAAAATTTATAATTCCTAAGATCATTGCTGATAAAAACTTGAGTATTCGAAACAGCGTTATATGGTCAACCAAACTTCAATAAATTAACTTTTTTTGTTGTTGTCTTTTTATTTCTATTCGAACCCTTCTAACTTTTAAATAGTTAATTTTCTTCATAAAAAGCCTCACTTTCGACAAAAAAAATTACCATTCATAATTTTTGATTAAGTGAGCTTTTAGGGTGACAAAGCAGTTGTTTTGGATATCGATAAATATTCATATTCAAATATCCGCCGCTCAAAAAACCTTTGGAATAAGTGGAACTCATCAAAATTGTCAGTGTAGGATTTGAAATCCTACAAAAAATCCAAATTTTTACTAGAAATTGGGTTACAGTATAATATAAAACTCAGGGATTAGAACCACTTAGAATCTTTGATAAAGTTTATAATGCTATTCAAGGGGAGCTTTTTCAGTTTGCCAAAATCCTTAAAAATGGAAGCCCATAAAGTGGTAAAGCGGCACCGCGCATTAGCTAGATAGAAATAAAGCATATGGGAAGCACTTTCATCGTCCTCTCCACAACTGCGACAGGTATGATTAAAAGAGAGATTTCATCTACTAGCGTGGTTTCCTAAAATACAGTAACCTATAAGTAAACCTACCGCAATAAAAATTTTTAATAAAGTAAATCTTTAAGCTAGTCATATAGCTGTTTTAGATATCATCAAATACTTATTATCTATCATAAACATCTAACTACAAAAATTTTGGCAATAGTAATAGATTCCACCTTGTGATGTAGTATAAACGACTCAAGGTTGAAGTCTCATTAAAGAAATTAAATGCATATGGAAAAAATCAATATAATTTTCAATTTTTAGAAATTAGATTCGAAATCAAAGAAAGAGTATATCTAGGAAGAAAGTTGTGGCTGGTGAAATAATTGGATTAGATAGGTAGATGGGTAAAGAGTTAGGAGGTCAAATCCTCTTCAATTAGTTAGAAACAATTTATGATTTCACATTTTTTGTAGTTTTGGGAACAGGACTCGGTGTTTTACAGACAGGCAGATTTATTAATATAGTACGTTAAGTAGAAGAAAAATCATATTTGCACAGATATTTAACAACTATAAACTTTATAACCATATTGACAGTTTAACCATAATTCCGTTTCTAGAACATTAAGTAATTGTCAAAAATATGCAAATGAACTCTACTAAGCCATCAAACTGTATTTTTTCGATTTTTGTATATATTTTTTTGGGTTTTTTATTTAGGAACCTATTATTTAAATTTTATTTATTGTTCGCCATATTTTAATAATGACCTTTTTAAGTCCATAAGTCTTTTACCAATATTCAATTGAAAAGAATGCGTGAAAAAATATTTCTAATAAGATTAGTAGCTATATCCCAAAAATAAGTAGAGTACCAATTTAGGGCGAATCAAAATGCTTCTGAGACCCAATTTAATTTGGAAAAAAAATATGGAACTCCTGAGCAATGCCACCATATTATCGTATTATGAATACGATTGAGCCTTAGCTTAATAGAAGATAAAGTTTATTGTGTAGTTGTGTTATTGTATACAAATCTAAAAGCTTCTATATAATTAACACTTCTATATCATATATAACGATAAGCCGCTTAGGATAACAAACGTACGTACATTTATTCCGCAAGGAAGTATATTGGAATCAATCTTAATACAGAAAATGTAGTATAGGAAATGTATTCAAAAATTGTTGTTAAATTTATTAAAAATACAAATTTTTTATTAACTTACCAATTTTATTAAGTATGCTTTGTAGTAGCATTAATTGATTATATGGCATGTTATGTGTCTTATATTGATTCCAATATATGTTGACTGCTGTGAAATCTGAAAAATATAGTAAAATTTAAAAAAAATAATATAACACAATTTTTTTTAATTAATAAATTTTGTTTTTTAAATATATATACATATTAGTTTTTTGGAACACAAATGAGAATTTTCATATAATATCATCTAAATTTAATTCAATTTAAATAAACCACTGGTACATCTAATTTCTATTTGTTACTTGAACTTAGATTCGTTCGAATACTATATAAAAAGAGGTTGGATACTCATTCCAATCAATCTAAACTGTTAAAAATCCGTTCTTATAAATTGTGTGTACCGAGTTTAATATAAATAAACAATAAAAAAAGTCACTTATCAAATTTTGTAAATAATTTATTAAAAAAATTGTTTTACGCAGCACAATTTAATGATAACGTATTTAGAATTATAAATTAATTTTTGATAGTTGATGATAGTATAGGGTTTTAAAAATTTTAAAAATATCGTAGTTGGGGTTATAACCAAAGGTTCTTTAAAATGAAAACGGTTCAAAAAATTTCATTGAATTGCCAAGTAACATCTATAGAAACATCGTTATTAGAACCCTGGACACAAACCAGTTAAATAATTCAATGGATTAACTTGTACACAAATTCGATCCAATAATGCTAACAAAATTACCTATTAGTAACTTTATGATTAGTAATTTTCTATTACTGTTCTATTTAATTATTTTTAATTAAAAAGCAACCTTAATCAAGTATTAAAAAAAATATTGTATGGGGTCTAATGAATTAATTGATCAATTTTTTTTTGAATTATTCTCAAAAGTTCAAAAAATTGCATGTACAAAGTCCCATTCGATAAAGTCAAAACGTTGTTTCCATATAAATAGATTCACAAAGACAAATTGACGAGAGAATGGTTTTATAAATAATTCATAGAGACCAACAAAAATAAACATGACTCTATCCGTCGGTTTGGTGATGCCGATTCAATCTTTAAAGGATTAATTTTGTGATAAGTCTTTAAATAGGAATTGTTTAGTATCCTTCACATATAGTAAAAAGAGCCATATAAAAATATTTGATATGCTTATAAAATAGTGACGGCAATATAGATGATTTTATCAAGAATGTATATTCTTTGTATCCTTAACGAATAGATGAAACGAATAGATCCACCGGTATTCATCGATTTAACTTCTCTCAGAAACACATAAATTCCCATATATTTATTTTTAATTAAATGTTTTTTGTTTTATTTTTGTTAACAATTACTTTTTATTAAAAATTTTACAACGTATAATTTTGGATCCAGCTTTCCAACGACACAACTGTGTTTCTACATATATCTGTATTTACAAGCTTTGCTTGTTGTTTCCAATGGACGAAAACTCCTTTAACCTGCGTAAAATGCCATATACTTGTGTTTATTTATACGTTTATAATTCGTAAATAAAGCTGTTGGTGTCTTCACCAATGTACTTTTGCACCTTAGCCATTTTTTCCTAGATAACAAAATTAAAACATATTTGATTACTAAATTTAGAATGAGTGTTACATTTTGTCCAATTGATATTTTGTTCCTTCCATTTGACCCTGAACAGAACCATACAAAGAAGTCATTAACCATCCACGTATGCCAGCTTTTCGACCATATACCTCGGCATACTATAAATATAAAAGGGGTTTAAATTATATGCAATCACAAAATAAAAATTATATAGCAAAGCCTTTATAAACAGTCCTAATTAGTAGTTATTAAATTTTTGTTATTTACCCTCCTGTAGGGAGCACCTATTTTAAGAGATAGAGAATTTATAAAATAGTAGTTAAAATTAAGTAAATCATATTTACGATTAACTTTGCCTAAAACTTTGAAATCGCAGGTATAAATAGGAGTTGCCATAGTCAGTAACAGTTGTGCGCCGTCTCTAACTGAAAATTTTGTTAACTAGAATAGTCCAACTGATATTCAGAAAAATATATAATTTTAAGAATTTAATTTTATTTACTTACATGAATAAAGTTTATTTTTAATATAACTCAAAGCAACTAAGTTTTTGTTTTAATATATTCACATTTCATAACACATGTTTACTCTAGGGACTAGTAAACTTACGAGTTACGGGTGCAACAAAAGCTCTTCCCACAATTGTCGTGAAAGCAGTTTTTCAAACAAACATCCCTACTCAAAGTTATAAAATTTGAAGCAATAACAATCTCTTTCTGATTTTCAAATATACTCTCCATGTAAGGAGAACTCAAAGACCATGTTTAAAATCTAAAAGTAGTCAGTCTGTCTTTCCTTTTTCAAAACACTAATTTCAAAAAGAATCGAATTAACGGTTAAGTGTATTTGATTAACAAAGAGTTCAAAACTTAAAAGTTTATAAAGTGTTGTTGGCGTCCATGAAATCAGATATTGAATCTAGCCATTCAATTTAGCCATTGGTTACATTTTCTCAGTTTTTTTAAAAGTGCATTCTTTTGAAAACTATGCTCCAAAAAAAAATTTATGAAATACACCAGCATATTTATGGATTCACTTGGCAGCTAGGAAATCTCTCCAAACCTGGACTACATAATGTGTTATCTGAGTTGGCCAGAACGTATAAAATAGCATTCATCTGTAAAGAAAGACTGATCAGCTTACAAACGAAGATGGACGATTCCTTTTATAAGACCCGAACGTTTTCTAGATTACATTAGTATCTAAAAATATCAAAAATAAAATATTTAAGAAGGCCTTGGCCGACTTTAAAGTTATACAGTTTATTCAAATTCAAGTGAATAACAAAAATTACAGATATCTCAATTCGAATACATCTGAATTTCTATTATTTTGTCTTATTATCTAAATTTTATCTTTCAAATATGGTACTAAAGACACAGATTCTGTGTTAGCTGAGAGAAATTTTCGGCTATGTGCCCTGATCAACTCCTGCTATTGTGAGAAAGGCGTTCAACGCCTCCATTCTACTTTCATTGATTTAAATAAAGTTTGACATCTTGAACAAAGATATGTTTTGTTTGTCAGTAGCCTTAAGTCGTTTGAGTTAGAAGCAAGTAACCTCCGAAATAAATTTTGGGACTATATTTATACAAATGAATATTCATTATTATGTATTATGACTGTTTAATAAGAGTCAATTTTTCTATATATTATATGACAATATATGAAATATGTTAGAACACATATTTTATTTTATTTCGTATTACAAAAATTGTGTATTAAGGGATGTAATCATATATGAGGACTGATCCACGTTAAACATAAGTTTTTAAAATTAATAATGAGAAAAGTTTTAATCAGTTTATTTTGCATCTCATGTAGTACATGTGTAGTGACGCTCAAGAAAGTGACAGCGAACAGCTGTTATGTTTATGTCTAGGCTTATCCATATATTTTCAAAAATTAATATTGGCCAGATATTTTCTGCCGACAATATCGAGATATGTAGAACTTCACCTATCTACCTATTTACTTTTGAAAGCTGCTTAGATACATACATTACAACAAAAATACAAATAATAATATTCGCTGCAGTATCATTGATTAATGTTCTTTTCGGTTAATTTGAAATTTATCTAATTTTATTACTTAAGAGTGAAAGCGATATAAACAACAAAAGTGAAAGTCAAATTTGCTAATATTCATATTTAAACGTTCGCATTTATTCGCAACAGCAATAATTGAAATAATAACAAATTTTCGATAAACTTTATTACTATTCACATATTTATACTTCTTGGTGGAAGCAGTTTTTGTTATAGCAGATTTTACTCCAATTGAGAGTCCAAGAGTTTAAAATAAGAAAATAACCGGCTATTATACTCAACAAATAGTAACAGAACCATCGGAGCAGGAGCAAACCATCGAAATGTGGCACTCAATAGCACTCAAGGAAGATGGACATCTAGATTGATACAAAATATAATCACCTGGCTTAAACGGAATTTGGGAGACACAAATTACTATCTCTTTCAGATGCTGACCGGACATGGATATTTTTGTAAAGCCTTGCCAACTCCCAAAACTTTATACTTAAAAGAACTTATTATCATAATACCTATATCATATGTACCCGGATAGGTATATATGAAAATCCATAATGGCACAAAGGTGTTTAAAAAAATATGTACATACATCCGGGTAAATATAAAATATATGATGTAGCAAATATATATGTTATACAGTATTGGGTATTAATTAAAGGGGATCCAAAGGAATCCTAAAAATTACCTGTAACTATCGTCCCAACAGAATATTGCGACTTTATTTTCGAAATATGCTAGAAAATAAATATTCTAGAAAACCACTAAAAGATTCCACTATGATTTTTATATTAGAAACAAACTAAGATTTCACAATTATTTTTTTTGCTGGATACTTTCTTTTAATATATACTAAATTTATTCTGTTCATAGTAAATATCACTTTTGTTTTTACATAAAAAGTCACCGTCGAAATAAAAATGTACATAAATGTTTTTTCGCGACTTTACCACTTTTCGTTAATTGTTATTTTACACCTTAAATATGTAATCTAATTTAGACATCTTAAATTTTAAAATAAAATTATAAATTTTTTTTATATTAACATTTAAAATCCAAAATAAATAATATTCTACACTTTTTACCGCATTTACTTGCTTACTGAATGAAATTAACATAAACTCAAAGCAATTAGCCATATTAAATCCAGTTAGGATTCAAATATAAAAGAAATAATGATAATTGAACCAAATTGAAAATGAAACGTAGTTTTTATACAGCAGTGATTACAAAAACTTGAGCTGAAACTAAACATAATAATTATTAAGTCTGAGTGAAGTGAGGTTTCACTAATAAAACGTAATAGAAACTAAACTAAATTAAAAATGAAACATAATATTTTATAGCAGCAACGACAAAAGCTTAAGCACAAGTTAGACATAATAAAAATAATTGTTTTTCCTTCAATAAAATTGAGTTTCTCTTCAAACACTTGATAGTGTTGCTGTTTTCATTAACTCTTGTTTAATAATTAGCATTCAAAAATTAAATGAATTTAAGTAAATGAATGAAATTATTAGTACTAAGACAAATGATTATTTTGGTTATGATTTGGAACTTATTTGCAAAATTTGTGGCTTATGAAGAGAACCTAAGAGTGATTTCCCGATTTATTTATATCTTCGAGTCATGAAAGCAATGATAGTAAAATTATTATAAAATTATATATTATTTATAAAGAGGTTTTCAAAAAGAGCAATTTAATTGAACTATAAGAATAATTTATTTTTATATTATTTTAATTAATTGAATTTATGGCTGAACATTCAGCTGTTTCGAGAATAATTCTTGTATTTAATTATTCGTAAATAATTTTTTTAGGCTACAAGTATCAGGAATCGAAAGCGTGCCCGGCCAAATTTGAAGCTAAGAATTAGCGCTCCTTAATCAAAAACCAACCAAAGCCTTGTATTTGACTTTTATGTTCGCACATTTTTATTGAGTTTTCATAATTTGCAGTGAAAGTTTCTTTTTTGTATTAACAAATTCACTTGTGTTTATATTAGAATGAAATCATAACCAGCTAAATTGAATTAATTAATTATATTTTTATTTTTGTTTAATTGTTAATTGTTAAATATATAATTTATAAAAAATAATATATCTATTAACTATAAGTGAAGATGAAGATATTGATATTATAAATATTACGACTACTAACTCCGACCTTGCTTGATTAAACGCTAGTTAGTATCTAACGTACTTTTTTTCAATAGTATTTGTGATCGCTTAGGTGATGCACTGTAACAAAAGCTCCATTAAATTATCATATTAGGTTTTCCTTTATTTGTCAATTCAATTTCGAATATAGGCGATCACATAACATTATAAATATAATTTTAAAACATTCTTTAACGCTTTAAAGAGTTACAAAAAAAATGTTAAATAAATACAAATTTTTATACACGCAGTTATCAATTTTTGACTATTTCCGAATATTCCTCCCTTTATATTATGGTCGCATTTTTAAGTTAACCAACATATTGTATTTCGGTCCAATGTCTAGTATTTCTTAATATTTTTTAACTACGAGTATGAAAACACCCGCTCCGCTTTTATTCGATTTTGCCTTGTATTATTAATTGTGCTAATTCGTACTGAGGATTTCTCATAACATGTAAGATGTTTTCCATTTTTTTATAATTGTTAGTAACTCCTTATTACAGTGCATACTTCTCAATACTTCATTGTCGCAAACATGATCTGTGCATGATATTTTTAAGATTATTCGTAAGAGCCATAGTTTAAATGACTCAAACTTGTTGATATCTGCTGTTCTTAAAGTCCTGATTTCCACGGCATAGATAAGTGTTGATCAAACATAGCATTTTAGAAAATGAATTTTTTCTTATATATGAGAAAAGTATTACGTGCTGTTTTTAGTCGGCATTTTATATCTTTGGTTTTCAGTGCTAGTTTTCATTAATATAGCATTTCAGGTACTTAGAATTTTTCATTCTCTCGATTTCTGCTTACAATTATATATTTCGCCGCTTGTGGACTTGCTAAACTGTCGGCGATAAAAATGGTGTCGTCTGCATATCTTGTATTGTTGATGAGTTCACCATTCATATATATTGAATAAAAGGGGTACAAAATGCATTCTCGTCTTACACCTCGTGAAATGGGTTATTTATCGACCATTGATATCATAAATTAAAGTAACATAAATTTCTTATGCAGTTATTTCTTTAACATCTATTCTCAGAGGTTGAAGAATTTCCATAAGCTTGTTATGTGTAACGGTTTCAAAAGCTTACCTATAGTCTTATAAAGCATAGGAATACTTAGGAATACATTGGCTTAAGATAGAATCGAGATCCTAATGTTTTACTTGTCTTACAAGTTGCAAGATTCTTCCATCGGTTTTGGCCACACTCAGTAGCGTGAGAAGCGAATCTGTAAGAACTTTGCAAAATGGCATATTCTTTGTTAGCCAGTTCTCTAGCCTTTTCGTTTCTATCAATATTTCATTATACTAAAGCCGAATAAAAGAAAAATTGGTTCCATATACTCAAAACGTTTAAGACAAACAAATTGGACTTCAAACATTCATATCAAAGACTATTGTTTTCTCTTCAAGCATAAAAACTGAGAACGTAATGAAGGAGATCAATATATCCAAGCAAAAATTTTTATATTCTAAACATCCGAACTAAGATAAAATCTTAGTACATTTTGCTAATATTAATTATAAATTTTTTGATATGATTTCGTTTAATTATAAAAGTTGAATGTCTTGTTATTTAAAATTGTTTGAATTAAAATTATTTCAAAGAATTTAATTTAACTTAAAATTAAATATATATTTTCATAATATAATTAATAAAGAATTTTATTGTTTTTATTTATCGTAAAATAAAAAAACCGAATTTATAAAACCGAATTTTATTTTTGAAATTTTTTTCTAATCAGTTACCAAACATTAATAAGCAAGAGAAATCACTTTTGTTTCTTGGTTAAGTTTACAATTCTCAGCAACTTGGATTCCAACCTTTATATAAATATCTCTTGAGATATGTTTATTATTATGATTTTTAATAAATGTTTAACTTGATTTAGTACTGTAGTTTATCACTTCATTCGTTTAAGGGTGTAATCAATTTAGGTCCCTGAATATTTCGGTTTGCTATATAAACTAAAATATTATTTAATATTTAACAAACATATAATAATTTCATAATTCATTAGAATTATGTCAATATGTTTTACCAAATTTAAGAAATTAATACAGTTCTAGATATTAAGGTTTTATATAATCATAAGCTCGTCAGTGCGACTTTTTCCAACTTAGCAAATAGGTTTCGTTGTAAATGAGGTAAAAATAAAGTACTTTCTGTCAACAAACAGATGATGTTATCCTGGCTAGATACTTATTATTCTGCTCACTATTATGTAGAGCAATATGATTTAGTCAAGAACTATGACCAAGAGCATCGGTGATAATTTTTTTTTTGTCTGACATATGTAATTAATAAAAATGTTTTGCTTAATATAATTAGTGCGGTCATCGCAATTTGCATCATTGCATATCAAAATGAATGGTTTAGACAGACTATTAAAAGCTTTCCATATTCCATTTTAATAGATTGGAATGCCTTCTTAACAGTGTTCAGTATTCAATCAATATGTTGTTAAGTAATTATATTTAATGTTGATTTTGTCTACGCACGAAGTGTTTTAGAGAAATTTTGGTGCTTATAAGGTCATTCATTTATTTCCTTAACTATACCGTCTGTTAAGATCTAGTTGAAAAGGCTATTCTTATATGATGACAGAACGATTTCTCGAAAGTTGTTATAATCGGATATATTTCCTTATTTTGGTCAATTTATTGTAAGTGATTGATTCTATTTTTGTGACTTACAATTATTTAAACGTACATACTTCACTAAGCACCGGCGAGAACATATCGGTAAAACTATTTCGGAGTGAAACCGTAAAGCACTCCGACGAGATCTATCATCGCAGCATGGATTCTAAATTTTTTTCGTTGTATATATTTGATATACATGATTTTCAATGAAATACATTATTTGAAAACTATTAAAATGTATTTTGTTAAGCTATGTATTTTTTATGTATATTATCAGAAAAATAATTTTATACATGTTTAATATAATTTATCTATTTATAAGTAAGTCATTTTAGAACTTCGATAAAACTGTATAAGATTATACGTAAGGAAAAGTTTTATCGTATTCACTAAAGTAAAACCAATAAGGTCCAAATTTGAAATATAGCAATTGCTCATCTTTATTGTATATATAGCCAATGGTACTTCATCGGTTGATAAGTTTTGTTTTTTCATTAACCCTTGAGTTAGGAGAAAATATGGTATTTTCGACACTTTTATCTTTCTAGTTGGTGGAAATTTATATTGACTTTGTGAGGATACTTTTTAAATAATCTTTTGATCTTCGTTAACTTTTTTTATATATATTGCACTTATCCAAATTGCTGCTGTATGTCTCAAATTTATTTTTATGAACTTCTTTAACTATTTACATTAGCATTGCTAACAAGTTCTGACTTTGACACTTTTTGTGTCCATAAAACCATATATGATTGGGGTTATTTTCCTTTTTTACTATGGGAAATACTTTCATATACTTTCATTTCATAGTTCTTATTATTATTGAAATACATTACTTTTTTGTTTTTTTAACATTAAAAGATTGAACATTTTGGTTTGGTATATTTATTAAGAATTTATATATTGTCATTATTTGAGCTCTTTATACTAACTAAATATATACAGTTATCAAACAAAATGTTAGTTAAGGGAAAGAAGCATTAAGTCTTTCATGGAAACAAAGAACAGATATTATATAAAATTACATTATTTTAAAACTACCGGACTAAAAATTTAAAATGCAAATGAACATATCCGAAATATCGTTTTGAAAATCCAAGTTTCGATCAGACTCTTTAGTCAGATGCCTTCAGGATAATTACATTGACGCTAATTAGCTCCTGATCATCACACAACAATCGTTTCTGACCAGATTCTGATTGATATTCAATACAAATCAGATCTTTCACATCGCAGGAAGTTATGAAGAAAATGATAAAACATGCTCCATATTAAAGTATTAGCCAACAGAAAAAACTTTGTAATAAGTTTGTGGCAATGACGCTATATACGGTCACTTTACACGAAATGTAAATTAAAATTCATATTACTTCTAAGTTGAAAACATTTATAATTCGTAATAATTCTTAATACAACTCATATGTTATATTCGGTACTCTGAATATTGTTCGCATCAAATATTACAAAATTTTGAAATAAGTGTCAAATAAGGGAACAGGGTTCAGCATATCGTCTACGAATAGTATCAGGAACATCACAAAATTTTGTACTGTCCCTTTGGTAATAATACTTTATATGATTTAAACCTGGTTTTTATTTGAGTTTATGTAATCATTTACGCTACGGCTAAACTTTTAATACGAATATACATATGTAATCTCGGTTCCGTATTAACTAGTAAAATGCCTATTATGCTTGTTTCTTTACTAAGAGGCATCGAAATATTCTATTAGTTATCAAAATTTTTCATTTTGTCGACCTGACTATTTTTAAGCAAATTTAATTTATTGAGTTGAAAAGTCAATTTAAAGTGCTTGGTTGGATAATACATTCAAAAAGCTAATTATCCTAGTAGATGATAAGGGATTTTCATTTAAAGAAATATCGTTTAATCATTTTTAAGTTTATATACAATTTATACAAACTTTAATAAATATAAATTGCCTTTTATTTCTACCTGTATTTATAAAAAATCCATGAAAATTTGTTAAATAAATATGACCTACCCAATTCTATTGTGTTAAATTATATGTGAAGTAATTAATTAGTTTGAAGATTTCTTGGTCTAGTCCCCATTTTCTTATTTTTTTTCTTTACATACTCTCAAAAATGCAATCTTCGTAAAACCGTCAAGCTAATGACTTTTGTTTCGTTTTTTGTTGTCTCTCATTTGTTGACTTAATTTTAATTACTAAAATTCTCTAATGTTATATACTTTAGGAGTCGTGGCGAAATACCCATCGAAAATTCCGATCGCTTCCGTATAACACAGACAAGCAATGCAGTTCAATTGGCAGTTGAGCATGTACAACGAGATGATGCTGGTCATTATACGCTTTTTGCACGCACAAAAGGCAACGATGTTATTCGTAAGGATGTCGAACTTATAGTTGAGGACAGATCGGCAGGTGATGATCCTCCAATATTTTTACGAAGGCTTATAGATTTATCTGTAAAAGTTGGCACACGTACTAGGCTATTGGCCGAAATACGTAGTTCTACCGATGTTAAGGTGATATATTGTCTTCTGCAATACATAATCATAGTAAATAAAATTCTCTTTTGCAGTTAACTTGGTATCGAAATGATCGACGAATATGTGAAAACGATAGAGTTAAAGAAACAAACGAAGGTACCTTTCATTATCTTGAAATAAGTCCGGTTATTTTAGAGGACGGTGGCCAATGGATGCTTATGGCTGAAAATTTGAGTGGTCGAAACTCTTGCATTGCCCATTTAAATGTATTAGTGCCCAAAGCTTATAAAGCACCAGAATTTATTGATGAATTGAAGGCAGTGTTAACTGAACAAGGCACGGTATCACTTGAGTGCAAGGTTGTTGGTGTACCAACACCGCAGCTGCGTTGGTTCAAGGATTCCAAGGAAATTAAGGCTGGAGATGTTTATGCACTGACAGCTAATGCTGAAGACCCAACGTCGTTAGGTACATACACTTGTGAAGCTGTTAATTGTATGGGTAAATCATATTCGAGATCCAAGTTGCATGTTGTTGGGCGTGGTAGTCGCGAAGGTTCTTTAAAACCGGCTGATACGTAAATACTTTTTTAATATATTTAGAATAACATAATAATTTTTTTAATTATGTAGTGTATCCAGTAATGCATCCCCACCGATATTTACGAACGAGTTGCGCGATGCTAGCATACGCATTGGCGATACATTGATACTTGGATGCCAAGGTGAGTACGATTATTTTGTGTACGGTAAAAATTGGCTGGAAGCCAATATCTTTTTCAATATTTACGTCATTTTGGCAAACTCACAGTTTACCACATACCGGCAAATGCCGTGATATATAATATTAAAGTGAAATACATAAGCACACTTGAACTCAAATCATTTGCTGAGTTGTGATAGGTCAGTCCCACATATTTTATGTTATTTACAATATATACAAACATCGTAATCAAAACAGATAAAGATAATTTTTGCAATTCGTCACTTACACTTCTTTATACTTTTAGTATTCGGTGAGAAATCTATAAATGAGCGAAATTTCAGAGAGAAAATGTGTTTTGAAATATCTAACAGCATACTTACGCCTACGAGTTTTTATTTCATGCATACTGAGTAAATGATTTTTATTTTTAGTGGTGGTGCCACCTTGGCCGAAAAGTGTTACATGGTACAACAAAGTTGGGCGAGTCGAATCATGTGAAAAATACAAATTAATTGAAGATGGTCTTGGCGTTTATATGATTGAAGTTAAGCCCTCTGATAGCTGTGATGAGGGTGAGTGGAAGTGCGTTGTTACCAGCTTAGAGAGTTGTGTAGGCATTTCTACCTGCAACGTTAAAATGGACAGTGAGTTGTTGTTATTTAGTATTAAATATTGTTTTATCCCGTTTTTTTACAGTTCCGAAGAACTACCGTAAACCCAGATTTATGGAAAGCTTGCGCGCCGTACTTACAGAGGAAGGATTGGTTTCATTTGAATGTAAAGTAGTTGGTTTTCCCACACCTATATTAAAATGGTTTAAAGATGGTCAGGAATTAAAACCAGGAGATGTTTATCAGTTAACAGGTACCAACTCATTAGGTACTTATTGTTGTACGGCTAAAAATTGTATGGGTGAAAGCAGCAGCGTAGCTGTACTTACAGTAGAAGATATAGAAAATCAACTTAATGATGAAGAACGTCTAATGCTTGCTAGTCAAAATCAACCTCCGAAATTTGTTGTGGGTCTTAAAAGTCAGGATGCAAAAATTAATGAACCTTTTCAGTTTACTGTTAATGTTAAGGCGCTACCTGATCCTATTTTATCTTGGTTTAGAGATGAACTACCTATTGAACCAAACGAACGTTATAATCACTATCGTGGAGAAAAGGAAAATTGGCATTTAGATATACGTACTGTTGAATTCGTTGATCAAGCCGAATGGAAATGTGTGGCAGTAAATGATTTTGGAACGAGTATAACCTCATGTTTTTTGAAATTGCAAATACCTAGGCATTATAAAAAGCCACGTTTTTTGGAATGTTTGCGCGCTGTGCTCACCGAAGAAGGCGCTGTGAATTTAGAGTGTAAAGTGATTGGTGTACCTCAACCAGTATTAAAATGGTATAAAGATGGAGTGGAACTCAAACCTGGCGATATACATCGTATAATTTCAGGGCAAGATGGTACTTGCTGTTTGGGTACATACACATGTGAAGCCAGAAATTGTATGGGGGTGGTAGCGAGTTCTGCTTCGTTGTTAGGCTTTGAAGATGCATATAAGAACGAAAATGCTGCAAAGACACAAGAAAAAACTGAAAATGAACTACAGCGCAATTTCTCGTTATCGACCATACAAGAAGAACGCACATCGCAACTTTATGAAACACCTATGGGTGATATTACAATTGACGAAAAAGGTGATATTTCATTTTCTTTTGATGGTAAAGAAGTATCTGTTTCGTTGTATGAAACTCCGGATATAACTGAAGAAGAAGCACTTAAAATAGTGGAAATGTATGCAGATCAGATTTCTGAGCATATAACAGAACACAATATTGTAGAACTGCCTCCATTGCGTTGTGTTAAAGAAACCTCACAATCTGGTAAACTACTTATGGAAGCTGTGGTAATTGATATATGTCCAGAGTACTTTTCTCATGAGGAAGATATGCGTACAGAAGCTGACATGGATGATATTTCTATAACTGAAATTACTGTACATGGCTCTTCAGGACGTGAAGGTGTATTTGACAAAGAAACTGAAAACTTTGTTCAAAAATCATTTGAAAAAATGGAAGAAGAACTATCATTGTCCGCACCTGTTGCTAGAAAAAGAAAAAAATCGCGCCCTACAGAGACAGATGAATTTTTCAGTTTATCAAAAGCCTCTAGTAGCCAGGGGGATGATGACACATCCGACTTACAAACATATGCAAGCGCACAAATGTCAGCTAAAGTTGAATCTACTTCTGCAAAGAAAAGTGACGCAACTGAACAAACCGATTCCGTCAAGCCACCTAAGCGCAAGAAAGGTAAAAAACAATCTGATACGGATTCTTCAAAAACAGGTGATGAAGAGGCAAAATTGCTGGATATTTCAGGCGCTGTGGGAGATGGTTTAATGATGCCTGCTTCTCAGCCAACTAAAGTAATATCAAATGCAGCTGAAATAGATAGAAATTTGAAGTGTTTGTTGCCTTTAGCAAAATCTTTACAAATTGTGGAAAACAATTTGACTGCCGTAAAGAGTGAAGTTGTTGCACAGTCCGCCATGCTTATGACAGCTTCTTCTGCTGATCAAAGTATAGCAATTATTCATAATGTCATCGAACCAATTAGTCAAATTCACAGTAAACTGCGTGCTTACTCTGGTGAAACTCCACTTGATGTGCTCTTTCAAGCAATGGAGGAAGATATACGAAAATTACACACAGCACTACAGGTTATAGAAAAATGTGTTGAAATTGATGAAACTGGTGTAACTCTAATACAAAGAACCAGTGTTTGCATAATTGATAGTATTGGAAATCATATGATCAAAGCTTTAGGAGAATTAAAAAATGTTGCAAGACATTTTGAAAAAGCCTCTTTGAGGGCTCAAATTGAACTTAGAGCTTTGGACATACAACAGGGTCTTGAAATTACCCAAGGAACAATTAAAACTCAAACTTTAATACAAGAAGCACAAGAGTTGGAAGCAGAGAAGCATTTATCTGAAACAGTTGCCAAGCTGCAGGAAGCACCAGAACCGTTACCTTTTGATAAAATTTCAAAAGCTGAGCTACCAAGTTATGCAGATGCACTTAAGATTGTTTGTGAGCCTGTAGTTAAAATTCAAGAAGCTTTGGAACGTGTTGAAAATGAATTGTCTCTTGAGCAAAACGAAGAAGAAATATATAAAAAGGTACATGCAAAAGTTTTGGAGAATATAGTGGAACCTATTAAGGAGTTACAAGTTGTAACTGAACGAATTGAACAAAAACCAGAACTACTAACTGGAATAGAATCAATGGAACAAAAAGTAAATATGGCAATATTGGATATCGTCACACCACCCTTATTCGAGTTGAAAAAAGGGCTTGAGATTATACTTAATGAACCTTCGGGCAACATCGAATCGGGTATGTTAACAGTGCATACAGTTGAAGCAATGGTGCCGCCATTGCAGGAAATTCAAAGTGGCTTATCTCAGTTAGGTCAAGATATACAAACCGGACAAATAAATGAAGATTTTGGTCTGGATTCTGCTGATACACAAAAACTTCTACAATCAATTGCACAATCTGTGCTACATTTTGAATCGAATATAGAAAGACTTTCTCCGCGTCTATCACAAAATATACAAACTGGGCTTTATAATTTGAAAGAAGAAATGTCGGCATTAATAAGTAATATTTTGGACGGTTCTATAAATAAATATCATGTTACACTTTTTGAAAATTTAAAGAGGCCTGTAGATGAAGTGAATTATTGTTTAAGACAAATAGAAGAAAAATCAATGTCAGGTTCTCTAGCTGATCTAATAGATCCTCTACACAGCTTAAATGAACGAGTGAGATTAGGCCGGGATATTTTAAGTATACCTGGTTCACAGCAAAATGAAAAACATTTACGTGTTCTGGATCAAATGCATAAAATTATTAAAAACATTGAAATAGATGTGGAGGAACACGAATTTAAAATTTTGCAAAAGGAAATAAAACTCGATGAAATTGAGGCTTCTGAACAAGAAAAGTCATTTATTTCAATGAGGGAAGTAATGGAAATAAAAATTGCACAGGATGAAATTATCGGAAATGTGTCAAATTTATATGAAATAATTTCTGAAGTTTGTAAGCAACAAACTTTGGACGGAAGTACTAAGGCGATTTTAACGAATTTACAAAAGCCAGTGAAATGCATTTTAACTGAATTGAAAACAGCACAAGAAACTATAGATACAACAGATTCACAAGCCAAAAAATTAAATAAATATTTTGTGCAAGTTTTCAGTTCTTTACCAATACAAAATCTAGTAAATACTCTTCAAGGTGCAGCTAAGGTAGTAGGCACTAAGCAATTTATTCAGCATGTAAATCAAAATACAAATCTTAAAGCTTTATGTGTCGAACTGCAAGTAGCTTTAAGTCAGACAGCAACTGGGATTGAGGTTCCAGTGGAGTGGTACAATACGCCAACAGCAGATGCTCTTAACGAAGTTGTGAACAATTTGGAAAAGTTAGTACAACATGGTACAGAAGTTGCTGAAGAAAGTTCCACTCTCGAAGATATATCCATTATAAAGTCTGTAACTGAATCTTTACCGCCTGAAGACAAATCTGTATCTAAATCGGCTATAAAAAGTGAACAGATGACTTCACAAGTAGTTACAGAAGAAAGTAAACCAAAAGAAAAAGTTGAAAATATGATGGCCCAACTGAAAAACAGTATCTCTTCTGTATTAATGCAATGCGCTGAAATAAATCCAAGTTCACTACAAATTGAAGTAGCAAAACAAGTCAAGGCAACTGTAACTACACTGCAAGATATTGCGCAGTCTATCGCTGAGAAACAGCAGATCAGCCTTATGGAACCATTGATCTCTATGTCGGAATGTAGTAGTGATCACAGAACTTTGGCAGATGCAGTTCATAGCCTGGAGCAGTGTATTGTGGATGTTCAACAGTTTGTGTTGCAAAGTGAATTGGATGAATTAAGTGATATGCAAGTAAGTGAATTAAAAGTGCTTGCTGCACCTTTAACAGAACTGCAACAGAGCCTGCAAGTATTCCATACACAAGAACTAGAACAAGTTATAAGTATGTCAACTCCTCAAGTCACTGAAACTGCTGCTGATGTTGTTCAAGGGTTAAGAGCGTGTGTACTGTCAATTAATGAGTTACATGCTCTAGAAGCACTGGAAAGCATGGCAGTAGATGAATCACTTTCGCATTTAAAACAATTCATAGCACCAATACAAGAATTAACTAAAGCAGTTCTTACTGTAGAAGATCAAATGCATTTATCACAAATAGAAACTTTATCTAACCAGGAAAGTCTTGCTAAAATTGCTGAATTTGCACAATCACTTCTAGGAATACAGAAAGCATTAGTAAATGTACAGGAAATAACGCCTTATGGTAATCTCGAAGAGTGTGCCTCTTTAAAGGTGGTAAAAGATCAAATTGCACCCATTTATGAGTTGCTTAAACACTGTGAGCGGGTAAATATTGATTTACTGGAGAATGCAAAAGAACTTTCAACTCAAGAAGATATATCTGCGCTTAAGACATTCGCTGATATTAAACCAAGTGCATTTAAGTTGGAAGAACCCGTTGAGGCTAAATTGACTGAAGTAAAAGTTAGCGATCTTAGAAATTCCGTAGCTGGTGGTTTAAAGCATATACAGAACTGTTTAGATTTAACAAAAGAGACAAATGTGGCTGAAATTCATGAAATTGGTCAGGTTATGCAAGAGCTTAAAAGTGGTTTGGAGGAGATACAAAATCAGCTTGTGAAATCTACTGATCAACCACAAGAGACTGTATTAGCGAATTCCAATATAGCAAAAACTTTGTTTAAACTCAAAGAATGCCTAGTACATACTTATGACTCTTCTGAGTTTGATAGCGACTCTGCGTTAGATGATATTGAAAAGACATTTGAAGAGATTTTACAGACTTTACCAACACTAGAAACGCAATTAGCCAATGAAATGTTTGAAAAAATACGAAATGAAGTTGCTGCATTTTTAAATATATTTAATCAAACATCGAGTAAAAGTGTTTTAAACGAATTAATCGGGCCACTAACAGGCTTAATAGAAAGTTTGGAGACTGTTTGTGCAGCGAGCCAGAAAAATGTTGAAATTGAGAAGTCCTCAATGCTGATAGCAAATCTACAATCTCAAATAATGGCAACATTTAGAGCTATCAATGAAACAAATGAAGTAATTAATAAAAGTTTGCTTATTGAAATGGAAAAAATTCAGAATGGCATTTTAACAATATTTGATACGATCGAACAAAGCGACAGTAATTTGAGAATTATAGAACTATTACAAGAGATGGATTCATTGACACCGCATTTAAAGAATTTCATATCGAAAGTCTCAACAATAAATATGAATAATTTGATCAAGAACGTGAATTCCGCTCAAGCATTTCTACTACATATACATAAAGGCTTAAACGATAATGATAAATTGACGAACACCTTTATGGTTGAAAATCGGCAGCTTGTAGAACAATTGGAGAACACATTGGTGTCAGTTGAGAATGAGCTTATACCAAAGAAAGATTTTCTTAATCTAACTACTGAACAATACGAATTAATAGAATCCATAGAAAAACAATTAAAAGTACTACAAGAAAAGTTAGTTGCTCTACGAGTTCTAGTGGAATCCACAATTCAGTTAGAAGAGAGTGAAGCACTGGAATATAAGCTAGATCAAAAAATGGAATCAATATCAAAAAATATTGATTCCAAAATATCAAAAGAAGTTCATAAACAGGATGACATTGCTGATTCGTCCTTACAGGAAAATAAAATCGATATTACAGAAGAAACTTTCAAAAAAGATGATGAAAAACTGGAAGAACTAAGAATTGAATTAGTTAAATCTCCTGAACTTGAAAAAGCCAAGAAAACTGAATTGCAACAAGATGAAGAAGAAATAGTAGAAACAATTAAAATTCCGGAACAACATCAACCGGAAATAATAGCACAAATAGACCAATCACAACAGATAGGTCGATTTGAAGAAATTCAACAGTTAGAAGCTTCTATAGATGCTGTCACAACCGTTGAAGATAAATTTATAACTGAACAGGTCATAACACCTACTATACTTCAAAAGCCTGAAGAAATGATAACATTGCAGCAAGTAGTAAATATTGATGGTACTTTACTAGAGAAAGGAGTTGAATCAACAGAAGAATTAATTCAAAATGCTGGTGTTGAAGTTAAAGCTGAAGAAATGATTACAGAAACACTTGAATCTAAAATACTAGCGACGGCAGAGGCAACTGTCGAAGCGGTCAAACAAAAAATGCAAACTACAGAAATCTTAATAAAAGAACAACCAGATATAGCTGGGGAAGAGGATAAACCGACGGAACAATTGAAGCAAATATCTGTTGCAGCAGAAGTGACAAGCGATGTTTCGCAAGAAGTTCTAATTTCTGGGGACAACGCCATGCCGATAGAAAAGCAGCTTGAGGTGTCTACTGAAGCAAAAGTACAAGCAAGTGATTCTACAGATGATGTAGTCAATGATATGCAGCAACTTATCTCCACTCCTACGGAAATCGTAAATCCAGAAGACAATATTATTCCTGTAGAAGCAGAAATTCAAAATAAATTAGAAAAAGGTGAGTTTAGTGTTACTGATTTACAGGAGCAAAAAGTTGAGGAATTACAATCGGACTCAATCATACCTGAAACGTTAGTAGATGCATCTGCAGCAGTTAGGCAACAACAAAAAGTAGATGTAGCAGAGGAAGTATGTGATCAAGTAGCACAGAATAAAGAGGAATTAGCAGTAGAACAGAGCATACTACAAAATATACAATCGATTTTAAGCGATATTAAAACAGCAAAAGATGTGAAAATCTGTAAATCATCGGCTGAAATTTTAAATTCTATTGAAACAATTTTTAATGAAATTAAGTTGGCAATTTTAAGCGACAACCCAACTTTAGTAGAAGACAATTTATTCTTACCTATGTTTAAATTGAAAGATTTACTTTCATTTATTAAAAATACACCAATAAAAATGAGTGATGTAGATAAACCTTTATTCTGTGGCTTGGTTACCAAGTCAGATGCAATCTTTAGAGAAATTTTGAACAACAAGGACTCGCTAAGAAAAGCTTTTGTGCAAGATATATTAGACACAATACAACCTGTCACAAATACTGTTATCACTTACATAAAGGAAGCTTACCCTGACAATGCCGTCCTTCATCCAGTTACATCCCTAATACAAAACCTAAGTGAAGAGCTAATAAATATTGCCAATCCGAACACTGTAACACTAGATCTGAATACACCATCCTATATAAATACAAAACAACATTTAACAGATCTCGCAACTATTTTAAAAGAGTTGCAGGTGTTGAGTTCGTTTAATTCAATTGACACAAAACAAACAAATCTCCTAAATCTAATAGATGCTCTACACAAGGATAACATAGAAACTATGGAATTCTTTGAAGAAGTTGGAATTGTTAAAGATTGCCTATTGGCTTTGTTAGAAATGATTAAATCTGAAAAGATACACGTATCTCTTAATGAAACGCATAAAGAAGAAAACCAGAGTGAAAATTTAGAAAGGATAAATGTTTTGATGGAAATAATAAAAAATAATGACGATTTGTTGATGCTAGAAAATGAATTAAAAGATTTACTAAACCAACCTTTTGATGATGAACGTTTTTCGAAAATAGTTTTTAAATTAAAGGAACACATTGTTCACACTTACGATGGTGGGCCATTGACAGATAACGAACAAACTGAAATGATAGAAAAGCTTGTAGATTCTATTGTAGAACAAAATGCCCATGTTTCACACAAATTGTCGAACGAGTATTTTATTGCTACCATAAAAAATTTAGACGATATTCAATCCAGAATAAATTCCCTCAGCAATTGTACAGTATATGAAAAACTAGATCGATTTACACCGATATTAAAATTCCTGAAACAAAATGCTGAAGAATTAAAAGAACTCAAAGAAGTAGATAAGTCATCTAGATTGGCAGCTTCGTTACAAAAAAGCTATATGGACATTTTTATTTTGTTCGATGATTTAGGCACGGATTCGCAAGGTGTCAATAGAGAATATTTTGAGAAAGCAAAATCCGTGGCTTTTCAGGAATATGAGGATATTGAAAAATGTGAAAAACCTTTCATAGCAGTTAAAGCCAGTGAAAATCTATTTCATTTCACAAAAATGATTGATGAAATTTGCTGCATCTTACAAAATAGTGAACTGGCCATATTACCAGAAAACTTTAAAGACCAAAATATTATATCAATTCACGATGAAAATAAGGAAAATGTCAAATCGAACACAGAAGAAATTAATGAAAAAAACGCTGTAACAATAGATGAAACAATTAAAGATGAGCTACTTAATAAAGATACAGATAAGCAAGGTGCTGCATCTAAAGCAGAAGTTGATAAATCTAATGACGTTAGTGAAGTTTATCAAGTAAATGAAGACCAAAATGAAAAAACTGACATTTCGTTACCAGAAACTAAAGAGGTTTCTTTGAAAACGGAAGAAAAACAAAAAACAGAAACTGATTTGAAGGAATTAATAGAACAACAAATTGTGGAACCATCTGCCGCAGAACCTTTCTCAATTGATCTAATTGAAAACTTGAAAGAAGAAGCAAGTATTGAATTTAATATTCTTGAGGTAGTAGCTACAATTCAAGATCTCATTCAAAATGATGAAACTCTTCAAGTCTTGGCAGATGATATAAATGCACTTACTCAAGTTCCAAACACAAGCGAGGAATTAGCAAAAATTGTCTTTAAGCTTCGGGAACATATCGTTCATACATATGATGGAGGACCTCTGACTGATAATAATAATGATAGTAATGCTCCTCAAAAATTGATGGAATCATTACTGCAAAATGAAGAAGTTCATAAGCAGTTAGCAAATAAATATTATGTCGAAATTATTAAAAATACTGATATTATAACATCTAAAATTCAATCTTTGGAAGATAATCCAATATTAGACAAACTTCATTTATTACTTCCAACTGTGGATTCCCTTAAACAAATAACGGAACATACAAAAGATATTAAAGAATTGGACAAGTCATCTGAAAAGATAGTGGTGTTACAGAAAAACTTGATGAATATGTTTGTATTATTTGATGATATAACTTGCTTAGGTGCAGAGAATTTGAAATCAGATCTAGATCAAGTAAAGAAAACTATTTTAGAAAAATATGACTCTATAGATAATCTCCCGCAACAAGTTGATACTATTAAAATTTGTGAGAATATATATCAAGTAACTAAAATTGTTGATAATATTTGCGATAAACTGCAAGCAAACCAGATACAGAGCTCAGAAAAGATGGAAATAGATGAAATAGTTGAAAAAATAAATGAAGATGAAAAATCGAAAGAAACTGAACAGATGTCAGAAACAATGAAGGAAGAGGATATAGTTTCAGATGATATTCAAGATTTAACCATAATAAAATCAGTTGAATCACAGACTAAAGAAGAGGAAAGAGTCAATGTTACAAAAGAAATAATTGATGAGGTTGAACAGAAGTCTGAACAAATAACAAAGAAGTCTATGGAAGAACCTAATGAAAGTGCAGTTCAATTGGACAGTGTAAATGAAATAAAGAAAGCAATAATTCCTGATAATGAAATAGACAAATCTTCCACAGAAAATAAAATTAAAGCAATTAATGATGAGCTACTTCAGAAAGAAGAAGTAGATAAGCAAGAAGTTGACGCATCTGAAGTAGTAGAAATTAGTAAATCGGTTGAGAGCATTGAAGTGCCCCAGGTAAATGAAGACCAAAACAAAAATACTGATATTTCGTTACCAGAAACTGAAGAGGTTTCTTTAAAAACAGAAGAAAAACAAAAACCAGAAACTGATTTGAAGGAATTAATAGAACAACAAATTGTGGAACCGTCTGCCGCAGAACCTTTCTCAATTGATCTAATTGAAAACTTGAAAGAAGAAGCAAGTATCGAATTTAATATTCTTGAGGTAGTAACTACAATTCAAGATCTCATTCAAAATGATGAAACTCTTCAAGTCTTGGCAGATGATATAAATGCACTTACTCAAGTTCCAAACACAAGCGAGGAATTAGCAAAAATTGTCTTTAAGCTTCGGGAACATATCGTTCATACATATGATGGAGGACCTCTGACTGATAATAATAATGATAGTAATGCTCCTCAAAAATTGATGGAATCATTACTGCAAAATGAAGAAGTTCATAAGCAGTTAGCAAATAAATATTATGCCGAAATTATTAAAAATACTGATATTATAACATCTAAAATTCAATCTTTGGAAGATAATCCAATATCAGACAAACTTCATTTATTACTTCCAACTGTGGATTCCCTTAAACAAATAACGGAACATATAAAAGATATTAAAGAATTGGACAAGTCATCTGAAAAGATAGTGGTGTTACAGAAAAATTTGATGAATATGTTTGTGCTATTTGATGATATAACTTGCTTAGGTGCAGAGAATTTGAAATCAGATCTAGATCAAGTAAAGAAAACTATTTTAGAAAAATATGATTCTATAGATAATCTCCCGCAACAAGTTGATACAATTAAAATTTGTGAGAATATATATCAAGTAACTAAAATTGTTGATAATATTTGCGATAAACTGCAAACAAACCAGATACAGAGCTCAGAAAAGATGGAAATAGATGAAATAGTTGAAAAAATAAATGAAGATGAAAAACTGAAGGAAACTGAACAGATGTCAGAAACAATGAAGGAAGAGGATATAGTTTCAGATGATATTCAAGATTTAACCTTAATAAAATCAGTTGAACCACAAACAAAAGAAGAGGAAACAGTCAATGTTACAAAAGAAATAATTGATGAGGTTGAACAGAAGTCTGAACAAATAACAAAGAAGTCTATGGAAGAACCTAATGAAAGTGCAGTTCAATTGGACAGTGTAAATGAAATAAAGAAAGCAATAATTCCTGACAATAAAATAGACAAATCTTCCACAGAAAACAAAATTAAAGCAATTAATGATGAGCTACTTCAGAAAGAAGAAGTAGATAAGCAAGAAGTTGACGCATCTGAAGTAGTAGAAATTAGTAAATCGGTTGAGAGCATTGAAGTGCCCCAGGTAAATGAAGACCAAAACAAAAAAACTGATATTTCGTTACCAGAAACTGAAGAGGTTTCTTTAAAAACAGAAGAAAAACAAAAACCAGAAACTGATTTGAAGGAATTAATAGAACAACAAATTGTGGAAACGTCTGCCGCAGAACCTTTCTCAATTGATCTAATTGAAAACTTGAAAGAAGAAGCAAGTATCGAATTTAATATTCTTGAGGTAGTAACTACAATTCAAGATCTCATTCAAAATGATGAAACTCTTCAAGTCTTGGCAGATGATATAAATGCACTTACTCAAGTTCCAAACACAAGCGAGGAATTAGCAAAAATTGTCTTTAAGCTTCGGGAACATATCGTTCATACATATGATGGAGGACCTCTGACTGATAATAATAATGATAGTAATGCTCCTCAAAAATTGATGGAATCATTACTGCAAAATGAAGAAGTTCATAAGCAGTTAGCAAATAAATATTATGTCGAAATTATTAAAAATACTGATATTATAACATCTAAAATTCAATCTTTGGAAGATAATCCAATATCAGACAAACTTCATTTATTACTTCCAACTGTGGATTCCCTTAAACAAATAACGGAACATATAAAAGATATTAAAGAATTGGACAAGTCATCTGAAAAGATAGTGGTGTTACAGAAAAACTTGATGAATATGTTTGTACTATTTGATGATATAACTTGCTTAGGTGCAGAGAATTTAAAATCAGATCTAGATCAAGTAAAGAAAACTATTTTAGAAAAATATGACTCTATAGATAATCTCCCGCAACAAGTTGATACAATTAAAATTTGTGAGAATATATATCAAGTAACTAAAATTGTTGATAATATTTGCGATAAACTGCAAGCAAACCAGATACAGAGCTCAGAAAAGATGGAAATAGATGAAATAGTTGAAAAAATAAATGAAGATGAAAAATCGAAAGAAACTGAACAGATGTCAGAAACAATGAAGGAAGAGGATATAGTTTCAGATGATATTCAAGATTTAACCATAATAAAATCAGTTGAATCACAGACTAAAGAAGAGGAAAGAGTCACTGTTACAAAAAAAATAATTGATGAGGTTGAACAGAAGTCTGAACAAATAACAAAGAAGTCTATGGAAGAACCTAATGAAAGTGCAGTTCAATTGGACAGTGTAAATGAAATAAAGAAAGCAATAATTCCTGACAATGAAATAGACAAATCTTCCACAGAAAATAAAATTAAAGCAATTAATGATGAGCTACTTCAGAAAGAAGAAGTAGATAAGCAAGAAGTTGACGCATCTGAAGTAGTAGAAATTAGTAAATCGGTTGAGAGCATTGAAGTGCCCCAGGTAAATGAAGACCAAAACAAAAATACTGATATTACGTTACCAGAAACTAAAGAGGTTTCTTTGAAAACAGAAGAAAAACAAAAAACAGAAACTGATTTAAAGGAATTAATAGAACAACAAATTGTGGAACCATCTGCCGCAGAACCTTTCTCAATTGATCTAATTGAAAACTTGAAAGAAGAAGCAAGTATCGAATTTAATATTCTTGAGGTAGTAGCTACAATTCAAGATCTCATTCAAAATGATGAAACTCTTCAAGTCTTGGCAGATGATATAAATGCACTTACTCAAGTTCCAAACACAAGCGAGGAATTAGCAAAAATTGTCTTTAAGCTTCGGGAACATATCGTTCATACATATGATGGAGGACCTCTGACTGATAATAATAATGATAGTAATGCTCCTCAAAAATTGATGGAATCATTACTGCAAAATGAAGAAGTTCATAAGCAGTTAGCAAATAAATATTATGTCGAAATTATTAAAAATACTGATATTATAACATCTAAAATTCAATCTTTGGAAGATAATTCAATATCTGAAAAACTTCATTTATTACTTCCAACTGTAGATTCCCTTAAACAAATAACGGAACATATAAAAGATATTAAAGAATTGGACAAGTCATCTGAAAAGATAGTGGTGTTACAGAAAAACTTAATGAATATGTTTGTATTATTTGATGATATAACTTGCTTAGGTGCAGAGAATTTGAAATCAGATCTAGATCAAGTAAAGAAAACAATTTTAGAAAAATATGACTCTATAGATAATCTCCCGCAACAAGTTGATACAATTAAAATTTGTGAGAATATATATCAAGTAACTAAAATTGTTGATAATATTTGCGATAAACTGCAAGCAAACCAGATACAGAGCTCAGAAAAGATGGAAATAGATGAACTAGTTGAAAAAATAAATGCAAATGAAAAACTGAAGGAAACTGAACAGATGTCAGAAACAATGAAGGAAGAGGATATAGTTTCAGATGATATTCAAGATTTAACCATAATAAAATCAGTTGAATCACAAACTAAAGAAGAGGAAAGAGTCAATGTTACAAAAGAAATAATTGATGAGGTTGAACAGAAGTCTGAACAAATAACAAAGAAGTCTATGGAAGAACCTAATGAAAGTAAAGCTCAATTGCACAGTGCAGAAGAAGTAAAGAAACCTATAAGTTCAGATGATGAAATAGACACAAGTTCCACAGAACTTTCTATTGATGCATCTAAATTGGAGGAAGCAAAAGATATTCAGAAATTGAAGTCTATTGATGATAATAAACTAGAAGAAAAAATTGTAAAAGATGTCACAACGGAGTTGCTTGAAAATGAGCCGACTCAAGCAGCAAATGCAGTAAAAGAGGCAGATAAAATAGATGTAAAGAGAGTAGAGTCTGCAGATGACACTTTGAATTATGTTGACAATTTAATCGCAGTTGAAGTTGTAGCCCAGCAAATTGAAGGAAAACACCCAACAATCAGGAAAGATATGAAGGAGGAAATTGAACAGCAAACAGAAAAGATAGTAGAGGATCAGAATCTGCAGTATAAAAAAGACATTGAAGATGAAAATGAAGATGTCAAAAATCAATCTATGATAGCTAATGTAATTGGGGAAGAATATTCTGAAAAAATATCGGTACAAGAAGTTCATTTAGAAAAAGAATTAGAAATGAATGAAGAAGTTATTAATGTTATTGATGATAAGTTCGATATAATTGAAGAGCAATCCAATGAAACTACTTTACATAGCGATAAAGAAGGAACTGTAGAGGATTTAAAGGAAAAACAGAGTAGGACAACTGAAATTGTTGAATTACACCCTAACGAATCTCAGGAACAACCAAAAGA